TTCTTGCTATATATCCGTCATATGTGCTCCTGTTTGAGAGGTAAACATGCAAAGTTCGAATTACCAACTACCTTCTGGTAGGTAATTGTGGATTCACGCGAATAACCAACTGTGTCCCTTGGTCGATTTATAGTGAAGGGGTGTTACCATATTATAGAAAACACATATCTTGTTATATAACCGAAACATTTGTGAACCGTTAACATGCATGCAATATCCGAATTACCAACATCATTCTGGTTGGTAGTTGAGGAATCACGCGAATAACCAACTGAGTCCCTGGTGGACGTAGAATGCGAGTTGATACCATTTGGTAGAATTAATCTATCTTGTCACATATGTTATTTCTTACCTTCATTTTGTATCTTCTTTTATATTTTTACCTTTTATCCAATAATACTTCTTTTGTGATTGTTCTTTTATTTCTTATGTACAGCGCCTTTGATCGTGCCCTGCATGAAAAAGGCGCTTTAATTATAAATCTGGTCATTATTATTATTATATCTGTTTTGTTGTTGTTGTTGTGTGTTCTTTTGCATATTTTGACATTTATTTGGTAATTCACGTGGATTGAAAGTGTTGTTTGCAAAATATAAATTATCTTTGCTCACTCGAAAATATTTTATCTTTAATTTATATTGAATTTTTATAATTTTTATGAAAATTCGCATGAGTCTAGAGACTTGCTGCTTAAACATACTTTTTCACCTAATTTCCGCCAACAGTAATATTTTTAACATGTGAAAATTAGATTAGATAGACTTGTCTCACATTAACAACAAATATTGATTACAGCTTACTTATTGTCAACATTAGAACTGCGATTCTATATAACGCAACGTGGCATTTTCTGGTACGGTTCTTTATTGTCAATGCCTGTCAACAGTCTTACTTATTTTCCCTTTACTACTCGTTTGTGTAAAGGCCTTTATCATAACCCCTCGAGCAAGGACACGAATGTCAGCCATTGTAAAACACCTAAGACCTAAGAGCTATGTAATAGAAAGAGCACCGAAACACGAGGCTATCTGATTTGTACGAGGGGGCGTAGCCCCCGAGTATTAATCAGATTGCCGAGTGTTTTGGTGTTCTTTCTCTTTTGTATCATAGTCAAACATAAAAGCACGTTCCCTGTTGTCACAATATGAAACCCCGGCAAAAATGAACCAATGAACGAACATCTGAATATGACATTTCTGTCGCTTTCCCTTTCTCTGCCGTCACAATATGTAAACCCCAGCAAAAATGAGCCAATCAATGGGCATGCTCTGGAGTGCGGGTAACTAATACCCGCACTCTAGTTAACGCACTGTGCATGTATATGTATACAATTTAACCCTGACACATTTTTAACAGAAAGGTCTCCAAACTATGATACAAGTTAACTATATAGGTGTGATAATTCAATTGTATAACTCAATTTCAAGTTTATTAATGCGATAAGACACTACTCAAACAATGACCTGACACACAGGACACTCTTCAAACACTGTCGTGACACACAGAACACTACTCAAACACTGACCTGACACATTAAGCAATACTCACAGCACACTACGCACACAACGAGCATGATTTACAGGAAACTACTCAAACACAGACCTGACACACAGAACCCCCTAGCACCGGCTTAAGTAGAATTCAACATTTAAACACGTGTGCCCTAAACGAGAAAACAATGGGCAGAACTAAATAAAATGGTATTTCGAAAGGGGACCTGGGGATATGAAGCCTGCATATCACAGATAAGAGGTCAAAAGACAATTTAAAAAGCAGGCGACATATTCTAACGATTATAAGACAGTAATCAAGTAGGAATACTGGAACAACCAAGGTTGAAAAAGGCCAAATAGAAGAAACTAAAAATACCACATAACATGTATAAACAACAATTATGTCGAGCTGAACGATCTTCAAGGGTGGAAGATATATCATGTTTGATTAAATGTACGGGGAGACTTTTTACGGTCGCGACACAGCACAAATAACACTGGTGTGACCATATAATTACACACACAATACAATACCAACACACAGATTACTAGCAAGACACTGACCTCATGAGAGGAAGCTGCCCAGCTAGTTTACGTTCTACTCAGGTGCCCGCCCGTACTTGAAATAACGCACGGAGGAGCATCTGAACTTTTCCTTCACCAGTAAAGCTGGAAAGTTGCCATAATTATGACCTATGAGATTAATAAATATGCTCCTAATTTACATGTCATTTATTGATGGTATTTATTTAAGAAGGCAGTCATTACTTATACCAACCGGGACACGTGCATGTTTAAGCGACGACATTTACTTTATTAAAATTTATGAAATCATTCATTTCACGTGAACTATTTAATAATGAGGGGCAATGGTTTCGTCTTATCAATATACGTACTAAATAGCGTGCCCTGACAATTCGAATTTAATCTACAAAGTATTTGTAACGTTCTGTTACTTAAAAAAAAACGTGTCACATACTACTGTTTTTAAGGGTTTTTTTTAAAAAAAATATGAATTGCATTGTTGATAAATTGGCAATCAATTAAAATCCATCATCGATATATAGAATAATAAATTATTTAAAACTAAAACGTTTTTAATTCAGTATAACATATTTATGCTCTACTGCTTATTACCAATGACTTTCACCGTTGTGTTATAAAATGTCATTTATTAAAACAACCGTGAAATTTAAGAATGTTTTACAATTCTTCGGAAAGATAGAAAAAAATGTAGTTGGCATTCCTGTTTTTCAATTGTAAAATACAGTAAAATGTAGTGTTAAGCTTCGGGTATGCTACTGGTATAACTGTTACAAGTTTAGTGACTGAACGCTACACACAGTTTTAACATCTACAAGTTTATTAGTAATATAAAGAGCATCGAAACACGAGGCTATCTGAAATGTACGAAGGGGCGTAGCACCCCGATTATAAATCAGATTGCCGAGTGTTTTGATGTTCTTTCTCTTTTGTATCATAGTCAAAAATAAAAACACGTTTCCTGATGTCACAATATGAGACCCCAGAAAAAAGGAACCAATGAACGAGCATCTGAATATGGTATTTCTATCGCTTTCCCTTTCACCGTCGTCACCCTATGTAAACCCCATACAAAATGAGCCAAACAATGAGCATGCTCTGCAGTGCGGGTAACTAATACCTGCACTCCAGTTAACGCACTGTGCATGTGTTTGTATACGATTTAACTCTGACACATTTTCAACAGAAAGGTGCCTAAAGTATGATACAAAGATATACTAAGATCATCCTTGAGAAATATATTTTAATCACAGAAATGTATTGAAATCTATGAAATTCTTACTGAAAATGTCTAATTATATATTTATATTAAAAGAATGAATAAACTATGTATAGGAAGGTGCGTTCCCTTTTACTGGACAAGTCAAGTATTTTTAATGACACTATATATTCATATTGAATTTTGAATTCATATAGGTAGAATTTTAAACACGACATATCTTCTTTTGGTGAAAGTAAAATATGTTTTAATTAACAGTTTATATTTACAACGAGACTATGAAGATAATATCAATATTTTCTTTTTCTAATTTCAAATTTGAGCATAGTTTATGTACTCCCCTCTACTCATTTGAAATTGCCTGTAAATACATATTATTTACAAAGATGGCCTCAGGTTGATTAGACGGTAACGTGTAACCACGGCTGAAAAGCCTTTGACTCTGTCTCAATCCACTGAGAAGTTGCAGCACTTTGTAATCAGTTTTAACGGAAAAAATTAACGAAAACTAGTGATTTTTGGCAATTTTGTAACGTCTCCTCGTTGTCATGGAAACAGGAAATTTAAGATTGAGCATGCTGTTACAAAGGCTATGGTCCAGTCAACATTTTAGCCAAGTTTGATGAATATTGAAGCATCTTTTATAGATTCATAGCAATTTGAAGCAGAACTTGTAACAGGAGGTTTTTCAACTAAAACTGTCGTTTTTTACAAAACGCTCATGCGGTAATGGCTTAATGATATTGTATAAAAGAAATTTTCTGTTAAAAGCAAATGCATATTTATTCGACGTAAATAATTAATTATTCATCTGCTAGCTAAACATTTACATAAATAAAAATAAACATTCTGTAAATGGAAATGTTTTTTTTCCAATTAAAACAAACATTTGCCAACCCATGTAACCGTACAATGATAGTTATGCATGTCAATGTTTAATTAGAATTAGAATACAAAAAATAACTGATGCATATGAATTCTAATGGAGACATAGATCTGCCGGTTACTTCTCGCTATTACATTTTGAAATGTTTTATTAATATATAATGATCCATTTTAATAAATTCGTTTTAACCGGCTATTTCTATACATAGCATTTTGTGTAGTCATACAATGTGCATTCAATTTAATCATTTTTCATTAATTAAAACTAATGAGGCTTACAGAAAACTGTTTTAATCTTTTTATTTTATGCATGGGTTTATTGATTTAAATCCATGTAATCTTTGGTTCATAGAATTACATTCTAAAAGTCACAAAAAATGGTTATAATATAATATATGATATGATAGGATATAATATGATATGATATAATATGATATTATATGATATACTATAAAATAATATAATATAATATTATAATACGATACGATACAATACAACACAATACGTCAATACAAAACAATACATAATTTAATATATAATATAATGATACGATGCGATACGATGCAATATCATAATTTATCATATCATATTATGATATGATGTGGTAATCGTTCCGGGCTGCCTTATTGTTAGTACGCCAGACCCTTTGATTAAATATTTCCTTGAAATAACCATACCATTAACTGGTTTCAATTGCCCATTTTATTTTATGATAAGACAACGAAACTATTTATTCGGTATAAAAGCATGCTTTATTCGGTATAAAAGCATGCTCAAGTACATACTTATTTTACATTGGAATTTGGAAATTTTTATTCCCATTGGAAAATTAAAAGCTAAAACAAAATCAGGCTGAAGACGAACACAATTTTATTTAACATATACATTTACATACGTCTCTCGTTATACATCAAAACATAGACCATATACATTTTAAACAATTTGTTGCGGTAGGAAATAGATATCATTTTTGAGTGAATTTTTGTAGAATAATTAACGGTTATGTGTATGAATAAAATCACGAAGGCCGTTATTATTACAAAGCATTTGCACGACAGACCGTGCGTTATTGTAGTATTACTACAATGTAAGAAACATTAATATCTATTTCCATTCTAACATGCTAATAAAAAGACGGAAATTAATAAAAATATGTTGAACTACATTTTGTTTAGAAGTAATTTTCCTGACCTCATTTGACAGTTTATTGACGTTAAATCTGACATCATATGGCGTGGAAGAACTCTTTTTTATTAAAATAGATGGTCAAGTGTTGTGGATAAAATGTGTTCTTCACAGGTGGGTTTTTAAATAATAAATATTCATGAATTTGCTGTATAATTAGTCTATATGACATATTGCAAACAAGACCCAGTTGCGCAGCCCGTGATAAATATGATAGAGCACTGATAGTAATGTCCAGTCCATATCTTTTCCATTCCATTCGGAATTTCCGGGTATCTCTTTATGGATATGCACGCAGTATGATCAAAGCTTTTTTTCTAATATGGCACGCATAGGAGCGTAGGCCTAATGAATTTTGATGATTTTAAAAGAAGCGATGTGCAACATAAAAGTAAACAAAGTATATTAATATACACATATTCTAAAAAAGCAACTAATATGCAATCAGAGACAAAGATAACATATTTAAGTATCTTGTGCAAAGAAGTAATTAGCATAAATACACATAATTTGCTAAATCAGCATCAATTAAATTTAATGTGCGTATACATGAGTATACATGCAGCTTGAAATTTATTATTCACATTTCGTTTTCGTATGCAAAACAATAAATCAGTATGCAATCAACATACATGGGATAAGTAGTAGTATTTAGATATAAACATGTGATCAAGATAATATACTTCCGGCGGATATTCCCCTCCTTATCTTAAAACATGTACTTATTTATGTATATTATTATTACTAGGACATTGTGCACAAATACAAAGCAGAACTGTGTTTAACCTTCTCCTTAGTTGAACGGCGTGCGAACAACAACTTCGCAAAGTTGCATGAAATTACCGTTTGTGTGTTGGACTTTTAGAAACTTTCCGTAAATCGCATTTTCACACACCATCGTTAACTTAAATGGCGCTGTGCTGACTTCAGGACCAAAGTAGGTTCCGCAGACTGTTCCTACGTCATTAATGACATCATTACGGGTTGTAGCTACACTGACTGTAAAACCAGTGTTTCGGTAATCTATAATAAAGATACAATATCGTACATTTTACAGTTACATTCTATAACTTGTATACAGCGTAATATTCTACTTTCTACAAGATATAAGTTATGCAGCAAGTTGCCATTATTCTTTTCCTCAAAAGATCTATATTTTATTCTGGAATTTATTGAACAAAAAAGAAACCAGTCAAGTCAAATATTTTGAGCAAATGCGATGATTTTTAGATAACATGTTAGGTCAATTACATTTTTTACTATTACAATTACAGATTTCGACAAATGTATATATTTATATGTATTTGGCCGTTTAGCGTACGAATCAATAGATAATAAAATGTAACGTTAACAATAAATAGAGGATATTGAATGAGTGTAGGTTTAATACTAAATTTATTGAACGAGTTGAATAAAATCATATTATGCGAGCCTCTGGCGAGCATAATATTGTTTTATTCAACGAGTTCAATAAATTTAGTATTGAATCTACACGAATATAATGTTCTATTTATCACATATATAAAATAAGAACGGTAAACTGTTAACAAGAGTCATTTTTCTTTGACGCGCCGATAGTGTAACGCTAACATTAGCGCGCTTTAACGCTATGTTTATAGCGCAAATTACGTGACGTCAAAGTGTTATTACATAGAGGATATTTGTTTGTTTCAGTGTAAGATCGAAAAATATTTCACCGAGTGAACACCAGATGCAATATTTTCCACGAGTGGCGTAGCCACGAGTGAAAATATAATAGCTGGGGTTCACGAGTGAAATATTATTTGATCTCACATGTAAAACAAACAAATTTTCTGTTTATTTCATGATTTTTTAACGATTTTTACACCATTTTACTGATTTTTGCCGCGTAACGTCATGCTCTTATCTTCATGACGTCATCAAATAATGACGTCACAATGTTGAAGCAAAATATAATTCCATGATTATTTTTAGATTTTAGATGTTTTTCAGCACAACGTTCGTAAATATTTACGAACTACAGTTATCACGTACATTTTTTATTATGATTGACTACATTTCCGCTGAAAAAACATTCATTAATGATAAATATTTTATTTTTACGCCAAATATAGTTCGGCTACTGTGAAATTATATTTGGTAATCATTACTGTGAAATTATCAGAATATAATTTACCGTTATAATTCAGTAATCTACTGCAAAACATGTAATAAACTAGTGTAATATTGACTAGTGTAATATCGTTTTTATTAAATGGCTTTATTACACTCCTGCGACGCGGTTTATGTGATAATAATAAATATATTCACATGAATCTAGACTGTAGAGATATAAGTCTACTTCTTTAACGAGACCGGCTGTACCAAATTCCACTGCCCAGTATGAATTACCCGTCTCCTGGTAGAAACAGGAAGTGGTGATAGTGGCAAAGCTTGTCGTCACGCCATCTATTGCCTTTTCGGCACTCGTACCACCCGATAAGGATTGCCACGCCACTGCACCGTCCAGAAGGTTGACATCTACAATTGAATGATTGATCGATTGATTGAATGACTGATTAATTGATTGATTGAGTTCAATATACAATGAGATACCATAGCACATTCATAAAACATACACAAAACAGAAACAATACATCTAAATTTATGAATACTATATCAAATAATTGATATCAAGATAAACATAACCGAAAAATATGAAATTATAAACGGGTGAAGTGCAGAATTTTCATTTTGGATCAGTAAATTCACAAAAAATCATCAAATTCATTCGATTCAAAATTATTGAAATTGTCTGATTCATATACAGTTTAATTCAATGATTTTCATCTCATTTATCATATTATTGAAATTAACCGATTCAGATACAGTTTAATCTAATATTTTTTGCCTTATTTATTGAAAATGACTGATTAAGGGAACTCCACTGAGGTATAAAAAGCCTAAAACATGAAATTTAAATTTCTTACTTAGAACAGATTGGGCACATAAAACAGAAAGACATTCAAAAGATAAATAAGAAATATACTTAGAAATTAATTGAAAATTGTATTAATGTGCCTCTCTAAACTCAATTTCGATGAAAGGCGTTGCGTATTGTCATTTTTCACAAGTAAAATAATTATTTTGAGAAAAAAGGATTGGACGAATGATCTGAAACTTTACACACAAATTATTGGTAAATGCCTTCATCAAATGGAATATTAATCTCGAAAAAAATTGCTAGTCCCGTCTAGTCACAACACCTTAGTGGAGTCCCTTTAAGATACAGTTTGGTCAAATAACATTTATCTCAATTTTTGAAATTCTCTGATTTTCAGATATAGTTTAATGCAATATTTTTCATCTTAATTATTGAAATTGTCTCCATGCAGATACATTTTAATCAAATAACATTTATTTCAATTTTTGAAATTATCTGATTCAATTACAGTTTAATCCAATAATTTTCATCTAAATTTGTTTGAACAGCCACTTCACAGTCTAATAATGTCTTTCAATATACCCGGTAGTTGATCGATTGATTAATTCAAATAGCTTGACCAAAGACAGAAAACAACTTATTTGCGTTGAAATTAATTCATTTTTAGACAAAATTTAAAAAAAAAGCAAAACTGAAACATTTGAATAAAAAAGATTTTTTAGAAGGTCCAATTTCTGAGAAATTATCCGTCACGTAACAAATACATTTCATTTTTTAAACAACAACAACAACTATCTTATTAGTAAAAAATGGCCTTAATAATATATAACGCATATATTATGACATCACGCATTTTTAAGTTTGTGTCATATATTACATGTTTCATAATGGCATATACAGAAAAAATCGATTTATTTTATCATCATTAGAACAATTCATTACAAAAAGATACAAATTCATATTCACATCTACCGTTTTATCAGCTTAGTAAATATTGTTAAAAAATACATGAAATTCATCTTCAGTAAAGTTAATATAACAATACTGACAATATACGCTATTCACTTGGAAAACCAAGATGACAACCAATTTCAATAAAAACATGACTTAAACAACGAAATTTTGCAAATCAAATGCTTTTCTAACTTAACATTATAGTTTTGATCGACAAATATCTCTCGGTGTTTAACATAGTTTGCACGCGTTTGTTTAAAATAATACAAAACTGCATTGATATCAATATCACCTATAGTTTGGTTCAACCAAACAAATTCAAAACCATATCTGTATAACAAATTTCTCAGGGCAATTAATCTCTCATAAGCAGACTAGCTGTTTTAACATTAAATAAAATTTTCATGGAGGCATAGATAAGACTTTAGTCTCAGTAATGAAAATAAATCATCAATTATTTTGTCATTGGTCCTGTTTTTTTCCTATAACAAAAACGGACATTGTCCTAAGTAATATTTCTTTATGAACACGTGGCAATATCCTAATATTTTTTACATGATAAACGCTTTAATATTGACCTATTTTTTTCTTTTTAGGTTGCTAGGCATAAATATCAAAATTCACAATAAACAATTACCTTTTCCCGAAAAAAAATACCAATAACAGTAATAGTGTTCAATATTCAAGTTTAATTTTTTTTAATCTGACTAGACCAATCTGGTTTAAAACCAGTCCCTAAAACGTTCATCTTTAGAAAAAAATAGATGTAACTTTAGTCAGCTTGTGAGTGGACTTTTAATAATTTTCTAAATCTTTTTACCATTTGTTGTAGATCTATACCAATAACTTGGATGTATAATTTCAGATCATTCGCCCACTCCGTTTTTTTTGTAAAAAAACATTTAACCGTGAAATCGCACCAAATATCGATTTTCAATTTAATTCTGAGCATACTTTTTTAGTATGATTTTCACATTTTTTTTCCGTTTGGCGGCCGTAAGATTTCAAATTTTCCGATTTTAGGCTTTTTTGACCCCTTCAGTGGAGTTTTTTTAAGCGCCAGTTCATCAAATTTATCAATTAATAAAAATCAATAAAAATAATAAAAATTTAGATCACCTATGAACAGTATATTATTGATGTAGTAAAGAAGCTTCCAAAAAACAAACAAACAAACACCGACTTACTTGGGAAGCGTCGAAAGTACACTTTCCAGCCGGCCTCGGTTACACCGGTACTTGTCCCTCTCAGAGGATAATAATCAGTCAGTTGACACTTTTCGTTTTCTTTATGGAAATTTACCGAAAAACACCCAGTTGTTGCGTTACAGAGGATAAGGCAGGAATGTGCCGAAGTTGTATCAAAACTCGCAATGGTAGTTTCGAATTTTTCATCCTCAGAGAACAATTCGAAGACGAGTGAGCAATTTAATCCGATTATTACCGCATAAAAATAAAAACAAATGTGTATAACGAAAAATGATTTCTTCATATTTTTTCACCTTAAACCTCAAAGAAATTCTTTTATCATTTATGAGATCCTTCTAGTCAAATGCGTGCAAGAAAAGTGATGATTAAAACTGTACGGCTCGTAAATTATTTGTCAAGTGACACACGAAGCATTTCGCGAGGTGTCACAAATATATCAATAATTGTGACGAGATTACCAAAGCGCTCATTGAATTAAGAATTATAGTTCACGGTTCCTCGGAATTTTCCAATACCTTACTTTCAACCATTACAATTCAGAGCATGCAGACATTTATTACATGCTTTTTGGTGGTTTATAGAAATATATCATAGAAATAAAACTGGTAATTTCACTGTTTGAAACAGTGAAATTACCACTTTGGTAATTTCACTGTTTTGAATTTAAGCCCCTTACGTTGTTTCAGTGAAATACCAGCGTGCACAGTACTGGGAACCAACTTAATGACGTGACGTCGTAAATGACGTTGTATTATTATTTGGCGCGCTTTTCATTCAGTATTAGGTTTAATGTCTTTTTAAAATGTTTCTTTGCATATAATAAAAAGAAAATTTGTTTAGTTTAGTGTAAGATCGAAATATATTTCACCTTGTAAACACCAAAAGTTCATATTTCACTCGTGGCTGCGCCACTCGTGAAATATACCTTTTGGTGCTCACTCGGTGAAATATATTCCGATCTTACACTGAACGAAACAAATATCCTCTATATAATAATTAGTTTGATGTTAAATTTTGTCAACGGTAACTCGAAGCGAAAAATTATAAAAGGCGTTACAATTAAAGGTCTTCAACATTAATTTTTTTTAACATAGTTAATCTACGTTCGTGTTAAAATTGTTTATTGTAACCTTGTGTAAAAAAAGTAAATATTAGAATCAAGTATCCCGAAGGTCTAGAAAAACAACAACAACAGTGATAAAAATATGGAGCAGCATTTTACAGCTTTATTATGAAGGCAATGTACTCATTATCTCATTATCTCATTATCTTTCTCATTGGCAAATGTGACCATCTCAACAAACCGATTTTCACGTTTGAGCATTCACATTCTAATGCAAACAACAGTGTGTGTGTGTTCAAAATGTTAGCTAATGTATTAAGTGAGAATTTGGAGAAGGGATTAGGTAAGTAGATAACTTGGAAGAATGCTATTGGGAAATGGATAAACTCAAGAATATGCGTAATTACAGGGGAATGGGTAACCTGTTGCTGTTGGTACCAGTTTTGTCTGGATGACTAAATAACATACGATATAAGTCTGGCACAGATTTTAGATGCACCATTGGCCCTTTGCTGACGATTTTCTTGTGCCATTCTCCTTTTTTTAGCGCCAATGCCTGAAGTGCACAAATAGTTGAAAATCTGACACATGGTTTTATTGAAATGATATTAATTTAAGTTCAAAATATCACGTAAAATCTCAGAATCAAAAATCTCAGACTCGGCGTCTGGCACTACTATTTCTAGATACTAATATAATTACTTTAATTTGCTATATAAAGTACAACATCTTCAGTAAAATAGATTGTCAGAGACAAAGAGTTTGATTACTGAGATTTGTTGCTCTAGATTGATTATATTTAAAGTGATGTCTTCAATTGGGAATAACTGATAATGTTGTTGAGATTATTGTTATACAGTTTGGCTCAGCAGTGTTTTCTCTGTGTTCATCTTTTCCGTAGTTCACTATGATCTACTTCAATGGCCGAATTTTACATTCAAATGAGTCCATTAAAATAAGCGGCACATTGGTTTATTAATTATAATTAAAACGCTCATATATAGACACTCTCCTCTTGGTACCTTTTTATTTTATAAAGCACTGCAAAAAGGCACTGCCCCTCTGGTACCTTGGTATGGAACGAGGAAGAGTAACCATAAACGATTCGCTTAAATTTCTTTATAGAATAATTATCAACAAATTTGCTATTTACCGTAATCAAATTTTCATTACCGAAATCAACTCATAAAATTACAATTAACCCATTACCCGATATACACGCCTTTTATCGCCTTTTTCACCCCCCCCCCTCTCCCTTTGTTGTCACAATGGTGAAAAATGCCTTATTTAGGCCCCCAACACTTGTTTTTGTTTGAGAAATGTTGTTTTAAAAAGTGACCACTTTTTCGGCGCCGCCTCCTATACAAAAGATGCATCAGGGTGGTTGCCAGAACGGGGATGTGCCCTCTGTCTGGGGGTTTGAAGGGGCGATAGCCCCCCTCATCTCCAAGAAAATTTTGGACACATTAGAGGCTAAAAATGACGCCAGGTCGATCATAAGGTAACGTGTAGCCAACGCTGAAAAGCCTTTGACTCTATCTCAATCTATTGAAAAGTTGCAGCACTTTGAAAACAATTTTGCTGGAAAAATCAACGCAAAATAGTGATTTTTGGCAATTTTGAGATGTCTCCTATACGAGGTAACAGGAAATTTAAGTCTGAGCATGTTAATTGTTACAAAGGCAATGGTCCAGTCAATATGTGTGCCAAGTGTGATTAGTATTGAAGCAGTTTTTATAGTTTTATAGCAAGTTGAACTTGTAACGGGCGACTTTTCAATGAAAACAGCCATTTTTCACAAAATGCTCATGCAGTAATGGGTTATATTAATTAAGCGTTTTAATACATGTATTTTAATTATTTATTTTATCATAATTTATTACAATAGGTTAAGATTGTCTAATTTCAACGTCTGAAGTCGGGCTTGAAGGCTATGGTCACTGGCAGCATTAAATTACTATTTATTTACATGTGTAGATTCTTATCTAGTAGGTAAGGCGGTAGACCCGTTCTGTGTACTCGAAGTTTGTCGGAAAGCGCCGAGAAGATGCGATTCTTTGTGTTGTTTGTGGTTATTGTTCTTTGAGTTCATTTTCCGGTAAAAATACTCTTCAAATAAAAGATAAACCCGGAAGTGAAACTTCCAAATAAGAAATAAATATGATTTGCAATTAAATGTGAAAGAATATGGATAAAAAGTATAAAAGCGACCCTTATGATACAAGCCAAAGAAACCCCCAAAGACTAAGACAAACAACCGCAAGTATGGATTCCATAAGTAACTCAGTTTCAGAACAATCGGCCTCATTTCCCATGAACGACTCATCGAGTGAAAAAGATACTGGGTCGCCTTCAAAGTCGCTTTGCTCCTCTGCTTCCTCGTCATCAGAAAATGTTCAAGCACACGAAATGAGAGTAAGTTGTCCAAATCTGGTGTCCTATTGTACAGTATTCCTCAAAAACCAGATACCCCTTGGTCTTACTAATTGACTAAGGTAAAGAGTCAACTCGGCCCTAGGCTATACTAACTCGGTCAACTTTTAAGAAAACATAGTGTAAAAGTAGACAAAGCTTGTGAACAGGGAAGTCAAATAAAAAATCATTTTATATTTTCTGTTTTGAAAGTGTCATTCGGTATTTTATGCATGGCATCCAGTTTGACTAGTACCCAGTGCACTTCACTGATAGGTATGGAATTCTATAATATATAATTATATATTTTTTTAAAATTTAACTTCCTCTTTTAAATATACACATGTAGTCTATAGTCGTGCAAGCCAAAGCCTAGGACAGCTACCTGTGCCGAGTTGGAATAGGGCTGAGCTGACTCAGGGACAGAGTACGTTTTAGGGCCGAGCTGACCCTGATTCCTCACTAAAAAGTGTCCCGAAGCAGTTCACTTGCTCAAAAACCATCATATATCAATTCTGAGAAAAGTGGAGCGTGCTCACACAAAAAGGTTTTGTTTGTTTAATTACTAGTATTCATTAATTATACATTAATGTATTAGATGCGGGTAAAAAGACTATGAGAATGAACATTTTTAAACTGTTAATATTTAGTGAAGGAAAACATGAAATCAAGCTGAAGCTGCTGATGTTTTTGGATATACTTGTGTAAAACACACTTTAATCTGTGAAAATGAAATAAGCATGTTTTTAACAGGCAAGCGTTAACAACACATGCAGCACTCTTGTTATAAATGAATTTAATATTGTAATTATTTTATTTTATTTTTAGCAACAACATAGATCACAGTTACATAATAAGATATATATATAAATAAATATATATAAAATAACAGTTTATCCAAATTAAAATATCATTTCATATTAAAAATAAATAAAACAAATTTAGTTAATGACTGAGATCAGATGAGGCATTGTTAAATGTATTTTAAAAAAAAATTAATAAAATCACATTTCAGATTAAAACTACAACAGTCAGAATTATAATTATCACAGAATATTGTTTAAAGTTACTGATAAACATGATATAAAAGAAATAAAAGAATTTCTATAAAATTTCAATACAAAGTTTTTATTTAAAAGTGATCTAGACTCTATGGTTACAAGGATAACCCATTAAGCTGGTGTGCTTATTTCCTATGGGGTCCTGTTAACCAAATAGATGGAAACAAATTATGTTTTTCTTTTAGTGGAAGAGCTTTAACACTGCATGCACTGCTTTTGTAGTAAATATCTACTGTTTTATATATTGTGCAGGTCTTCAAAGAAAACTTAAAGCATAACAGCCAGTCTGATGAACCTCCTATGTTGGACGGAGAAAAACAACAGGAATCGACATGTGAGTTGTCTGGATATAGGCATTATCTTTTCTCAATTTCATACAAGAGTGTTGAATTACTTGAAAACTCTGATTATAACAATTTAAACCTGCCAATGTTGAGAGATTCAGTCAGCTCAACTTTTTTGTGTGCAAATTTGATGAAAATTCAATTAAATGTACATGTATGTTAATAATTATATGTATTATGATCATAGACAGTAAAAATTCGAATGTTGTGAAATAGGTGTGTTAGGTTGTCCCAGTTTTCATTTGTTTACGATGCTTAATTGCCCAATTTAAAATGCATCGGTTTATTGGGTTTGAAATGTGTTAAAACATTTACTGTCAGAAAATTTAACAGATAAATAATGTACACTACTTATATACTTGTATATTTCAGTTCATATAAGATCATAAGTCCATATCACTAGTATTTATATATCATTGTCTTTACAGTGACAACTTAATTTTACTTGTTAATGCTTTTATTTTTGTTTTGGATAGGGAGAGAGGTGACCTACTTATGTCCTTACAGTGACTTCATCAAAGGAAATTTAACCATCACCAATTACAAGCTTTACTTTAAGAGCACAGATAGGGTAAGAATTACTATTTA